TACCGACTGTTTGTTTAAAAACAGTTTTAAACATATTCCTGTAATTGTATTGTTTTCTCAGGTGCATGTTTTTATAACTGTGCAGTTTGCTCTGCCTTTTATTGTAGTATTTAACTTTGCTTTAGACCATTTTTCGGAGACAAAGCACACTTCTAGTTATCACATGAAAAAATCTTTTGTTGCCATATTTAGCCTCTTAGATCTGCGGTAGATTTGTGCAGTCTATCCTTTTCGCGAGATAATTTGTTTTACTTTCGCACCCTGTGCATGATATTTGGACTTCATGTGTTTTAAAGCAGATTTAGATTGATAATTTGCAGAATTATGAAACCATTAGAAATCGAATTGACACAATTTACAAAGTAACACGCAAATACTGTCTGCGGGCTTGATTCTAGTTTTGCTGCATAACTGAACAGGTTGTAATTCCAGCAGCTGACTGTAACATGTATGAACCATTATTCAGCCCTCAAACGAATATTAACGTGAGATTGTACTTTTGGAAACCTGAAATTAACTCGTACACGTAATTTATATTTCCGCTATCAGAAGTTTCTGGTATAACAGCAGCAAAGGTTATTTGAATTGCAATTTCTCATTTTATATCTTTTGAAATTGATTATTAACTTTAACTTTGCAAGTTTGCTTCCATCTTCTTGAGTGACAACAAGCTAAGGAAGGCATTCATGTGGAGATAGCTCAGAAATTTTGATACATAGTTTCGTCTTGGATATTATAGTGACCTCTATGGGAGTTGACACTTATGACAGTGGTATAGCGCGTTATTACAAATGTGGCTTATTGACTTCGACTAAAGCAACCTCTTAGGAAGGAGCTGTATTGACTTAACTTGACGACAATACGGATGATTTATGAGCTTGAAATTGATAGTATATGTGTAGCGCGTTGTCTGTGGGATGCTGTCGAATTTAGCATTTAAATATAGACATGCCAGGCGTAATCATTAATAACAGACAGATCACCTTGCTGTCAACGTCTGGCGAAACATGATGAACGATTTTCGAATAGCTAGTTACGCCGCAAGTAAGGACAAGAAATTTTGAATGTATGTGTAGAAAACGAGCAACACGGACAAAACATTTTTCTACATAATAATGTGCATCTGAATATTCCCATCAGGTAGGCGTACACACCCAGACAGACGTTCTTATTAATAAGTTATACATCACTTAGTCCATTTACGCAGATTTTCCATTTTCCTTTGCGGTAAACATGATCTGTTTGATGTTGGTCGGTTACAGTGTTGTTATGTAAATTTAAACTGATACTGATCTTTTCACAGCGCCGTAGGTGCCAAAGCCAAAACGAGTTGTGTTGATAATAGACAGATATACTAGTGCCCGGAAATGCTTCAATGCAGTGAGGAGGAAAGAACCACATTACGCTGTACCAGCGAGCTATCGTCCTAATGAACAAATGAATGATGCATAAAATGATCTGCGTTGAACCGTTGATCAGTCATGGGCTTGTTGACTGGATTACATAGCTTAATGCTGACT